TGCAAAGCAGCCAGCACATTCGACATAGCAAGCCAGAGACGTTCTGATTATGCAACTCTTCTAAGATGTTGATCTCAACAAACACCAACATACGTATTGAGAAGGAGACGAAATTAAAGTATTAGAAATGATAAAGCCATTTGCATGGGCTCGTCAAATATGTCGTTGGTGGTGTGGACAATTTATTGAAAGTTCATCACCTACATACATAGGAACCGTATCAACAGGACACATGGTGATGGTCAGCAAATCGTGTCGCAAATTAAGCTGAACGTCGATCAGTCTGCTAGCGAGAAATTTTTCCTTGGTCTAAATAATAGTTCTAGCAACAAAATCAAAATGATAAACGTTGAACTTTTTACTTATGGCAACAAGTGACCATAAATACCAGTTATTCCGAATAATTTTGCAAATATGTAAAATTTACAGTGTGCTTGAGATAGACACTTCATAATGAGGACCTGGTAAGAAAATGAACAAGCACAAGTTGACCTGTCAATTATACTCCTCTGTGAAACTGTTGCCAAAATCTTTCCCGAAAAATATTCAATTTACATGGATATTTTGAAAATCGATCGTCACCTCGCATTATCCAAGTTCCAAAAGCTGCCAATCACCAGTATTTTTCGTAATATTTTATATTTCTGCAATACTTTTATTGTTTTTCCCATTTATTGTAATACTTCCTTGTGATAATTTTGTTCTTCTGTTCTTTTATTTCTAATTTATTTCTTATGCTAAAGCATTCCATGCTATGCACGGAGTATTTGCTCCTGTGATGACGAAAAACAGAGTAATTCATGACTAAGAATGATTCCCTTTAAACAGTAAGATATTCAGTAATTCAACTAAGCTATTCGGCATTATAGCGACGAGCTCTATTAATAAATGGATGATTAATATTGAGAAAAATATGAACGGATGCTCTCATACGTTTCGTCTGAGAGTCTGAAGTCACTTCACCCTGCTTCCATTCAGATCTATTCGCCTTTCGTCGTTACTACTCCGTTAATTATGCACTGCAAGACATTGAAGCTGATTGCAAGCACCGCCATCAACCTCTAGACTTCACCTAAAATCTTGAACGACTAACACATCGAACTCCCTTGAGCGTCACTCCCTCTAAACAAGCACATTGCACTTTTGCAGCACCCACATGATGGACACATATACGTATATCTTGCATCGAGGAAAGAAGTCTGAGTAACAACCCAGAAGGAATTTTAATACAGTTTCTATTTAAATCACTGAATATATTTAAACAACACACCTTTCCTGCAGATACACCAAAAGATTTCGTACTTTCCCAAGTAGCACTTAATTCTGCATGTGCCTATTGCAGCTCGAGTTACTTAAGCCAATCGACTTTGACTGATTGCTGCCCATTCTTTGATTGGAGCGTGATAACTTGCATTGAATGTGCCAGATCAGCAGCGATGAAAATGACTTTGCATGCTGAACGTTTCTCGGACTTCCAACATGCCTAACGCATGAACAAGAAGTATCGTTAGGACGGATTTACTGGGCGGCAACTTCAGGAGTTAGTTGGATAGCAGGGTAAGTTCAACGAAATGGAAAGCCCTTTGTCTACTGTACTCGACATAAAAATACAGCTTCATAATTGCCGTTTTACATCATGACAAACGATCTAGCACGAGATCACGTGAGAGGACGATATACGGCCGAGTATACGTCGTTGATTTGCTATAGCATTGGCGAAGGCGTGTCTTCAACTCTGAGACTATCCGCTAATGAAGCATAAAGCCAACTGGATCTGGCAGAGCTACCCATGCATTTTAAGGCAGCCCTGTGTAGAAAAAGGATAGTGTGAATTCGAATTCGAATTGAACGATTGGGGTGACCGAAACTGTCCTCTTTAATTCAAACAATGCGAAAACACACGAGATCTTTTCATCATTCCGCCGGCAATCTTTACAGTGAACGGTAATTTCTACTTAATGCAAATAGACGACTGTAATCGACTATTCATATGAAAAAAATAACATAACTGCACCGAACCGGAGGTAGTGAAAGTCCACATATCCAAATCGCTGAGCGGTTACTTTATTCGTTACGGACTGCATCCTGTTATTCAAGCTGATGCTCAATAATTTTCTTCTTGTAGTGCTCCTTTTGAGTGCAAATTCTGATGATTCGCATGCTGCATGAGGAAAATTGTTATATGGCAAATCCGTATATGGTAAATGCTAACTTCACAATTGTATTTGCAAGTTGTTGCTGCAAAGTGGAAAGTAGCTGAAAGAATTAAATACAAGTTATCCGGGTACATGAAGTGAGGATAGTAGCTTACCTGAAAACGGTCATATGGGAAGGAAAACAGGGTATTACCTGAAGAGGAGAGTCACTCTTCTTTTCGAACTTTTTACGCCCCAATAACTGCTGTTTTTCTGCTACTTAACGTTTAATTCCGCAATGTACGAACAAGTAGCAATATCAATAACTGGCTAAGGTTATGTATGTCATTTTATTCATGCGGTAAAATTCCAAGTTTTAATTTTCCAGGTAGTGAAGCGCTAAATTGATCAACTTAAGTGATAGTCGTTTTCTTTATACAAACACAAAAGAGTGACATCTAGCAGTGGCAAACAAGGAGCAGAAAAAGGACTCCACGACGCACTGCTGATGAACGCTCAACATTAGGCAGGCTACAACACAACATATTTCCCATTCTTTCGAGGTAGTACTATACAACTGGACCAAAAGTCTGGTAAACACTCTGACATGCGTTCACGAAATGGCCGTGTTAATTTACGTTGACCGATTTATACCTTGTCAAAACTGAAACTGTCTGGAATGACTAGAAGAAACAGGAAGGCGAATGAATGACTAAGCAGGAGTTTGTACTGTTACTGCAAGAGCAAAGAAGTTTAAATGGCAATGAGGCGCAACTTTCCAATAAGAACCGAACATTGTTGGATGAAGCACATAATAGGCTGAGTTCCAAGAAGGAAGACCTCATGATCGAAGGCAGGATCAGCTGAAAAAATTTGTTGGAACAAAGTGGATAAGAACCGTTTAGGGCAACATATTGTGCAAAAATCTTGGAGAAAGTTGACTGGAAGAAATGATAATGATTAGAGTGATGATCACTTGAAAGCTTACCAATGAAACTAACAGGAAATAACGGAGTACATTATCAAAAATCAAAAAACGTCTTATGATTTAGTCTGCTTATCGTTGGTAATCACCAAAAGTGTGTGAAAGTCTGGTGCGAAAGTACAGCTACGAGTTTTCGTCGAGAAGATTAAGAAAACGAGGGAGGCTACCTCAACCGTTACGCCGGAAGATTTTAAGATGGAAGAGGCGGGACCATTTCAGGTATGTTGGAAATGTGTTGGCAAATGATGTCGGCACTGATCCTGAAGTGAGCTGTTGCCCTGGACTGGCATCAGTAAAATCAGGCAACCTTGGCACACCAGACTACAATAACCGATACGATTATCACCATCTTGATCATCATCATCATCATCGCGGTAATCTTCGGCAGCGTCATCAGTTTCGTGCAGGCAGTCTCTGAAAAAGCTGTGCACGAAATGTGCACAAAGTGCTATGGCACCATCGGATCACTGAACCAGCAAGTGCTGACGACCTCAGGCCTGAGAAAACTAGAACGTGAACTCAAAGACCCGCGCTTGAGATGGTTCGATAAAACGGCCCGGAAAACGGTGGCAATATGTCCAAAACGTTTCTCCCGTTGAAGGACGAAGAAACAGCCACTGGCCGAAGATGCGTTGGAGGACAGTGCAAGAAGCGGAAACGGTTCTTTGAGGCACACGAGTCTTCGGCGAGGAATATTGCCTATGATGATGAGCAGACAGCGACGTTTAATATCAATCTGAGACAGCACTTCTAACGGCGGATTCTAAATCTCGACCACTAGGCAGCTGAAGCGGTCTTAGCCTAGATCGCGATGACACAACAACACGTCGTCTTACCGGCATTCGAGAATTTGACCATAAAGCATGAGATGTGGCGTTTTTTCCCTCCTGCGCCGTCATATGCGATTTCTATTGAGAATTAAAGCCAAAGCGGCGCAGTTAAACGAACGAAACAAAGACAAGGAGTTGAAAACAAAACGTAAATAACGTTTTCATGAAATCCATAAGAAGATCACTGATTGTTTGAGCTTGGCTAATGACTGCAGTGTATTTTTAATTCTTCGCTTCGTTGCCTGAGGATCAATATAATTTTGTTTTATTTTTATGTCATTCACCTGCCATGAAATATAACTTTAACGTTATGAGCATTACCCCAGCTCGAATGCTGTACGAAAGGTTAGAGAGTGGCAGTACTCTCGTTAAAATCTTGATTGTCGCTAGAGATTCATCATCTAGTGTTTGTTCACCTTGTTCGCTTCATGAATCGACATTAATACGAGCTGATGATTTTTCCGAAAACTCTGAGGGCAGTGATCATCACAGAAATGACTACCATCTTTACCTTAACATCTTTTCCATTTTCATCCTCAGTTCTTGATTATCGTTTTGTTGCTTGGTGATCGATATAATTACATTATTGAGTGACATTATTAAGTAATAATTAATTGTATCCCATAATTGAAGTGCTTAATAAACGCGCGCAAGAACGAGAGCAACATTTGCTGCGCTCGTAACGGCTAGCAGAATGGAAAAGACTGCAGCTGTCAGAACCAGAAGTACCCGTCAAGGCCTAAGGAAGCGAGGAAGGAGGGACACGGGAAGAAAATTAGCACCTGCTGGTTTGTCGACCTTTCACGGAAGCCGCAGGGCAGACTCGATGACGACCAGATGTAGAACGAGAAAAACTCTGAAATGGATATGTGTTGTTATCGATTTATCTTTGTTCAGTGCTCGACGTTCGAAAATTTACTCATCATGGGATGGGGCTTCTGGATTTACGGCAACAAAACATGTCGCAATCGCATTCGCGTAATTTCGCCTGAAGAACTGAGCCTGAATGGGAGACAGATTGGCACTGGGTCTTGACGCAAAGAATACATGCTGGAAAAGTTTCTTCCTTAAAAGGGGAGGGAGGAACCCTACACCCTATTTTCATTAACCTCTGACTTAGGGGATTGCATGTCTGATCAGTGAAATCATTGACAAGATAAGAATATTTTCACAAGCTCATAAATATATACCTCAAATTACAATAGAGATAGTCAATTGTAAGCAATACATCAGTAGAAACCATTCTCCTTGATCAGAAAGTGTTTCGATCTCATGTGATCATCGTTAGAGGCAACAAGAAGTTCTAGTTTAACGATCTAGCCACAAGAAGACATACATATGAATCGATGATGTCCCAATCGGCTATCCACACTGGTAGCTGCTTGCAAGGCACTCCTCAACGTTATCCACCTCATTAACGACAGCCCGGGAAATTTCGAGTCGTCGATCAATTGCAGTCATTAAAAGGACTTAATCTTAAGGTGAGACCTCAACGAGAATAAAACTAACATTCGGATTTCGCTTATTTCACTACAGACATAGTTGTAAATGCTTACCTAAACAAAGAACTGCTTCGTGGATCAAGTTCTTCAGTGAGGTTGCTCTACGACTCAGATGAAGCTTTGCCAAATCTGACGATTCTGGCAGGTTCTCGACAGACTCCGTGGCGGTGGTGGTGGCAGTAGCAGCGGTGACCATATCGCCGTCCTCGGAGGTAAGTCGGTTCAAACCCATCATCCGAAACGAGCGTCTCAATTGGCCCCGTGTGGTCCAGCGTCGTCGCATGTAGCCCAATATGGACGAAACGAACCGGCTCTGTTCGGCGCGAGGCGATCAGGCTAACAACAATGGATATGCGGTGCTCATCGGCGATCCTCGGTCAGTCAGGAGCAGCCTCTGGTTCGGTCGGTGGTGCAAATCCGTCGAGAGTGTCCTCGAGCAGTTTTTGTAAATACCCGGCCTAAACACAGATGCAGGTCTGAAGGAGGACAGGACAGCGTCCCTCAGTCTTTAGCCTCAGAAAAGACGGCGACGTCCACGCGGCGACTATGCGCCTGTGTTACGAAGCTGGACTGCTATTATTATGACTATGCGCGGTGGCTGTGGCTGTGGCGGTGGCTGTGGCTGTGGCTGTGGCTGTGGCGGTGTCGGCGACGCTGGCTGTGTATTGATTCTCCATGGCTGCATCGACGAAGGACAGACGTACGAACGGACAGAAAGAGAAACGGATGAACCGACCGACCGACAAACGCTACACACGATCGGGCAGCCAGTCGAGAAAGGAAACTCTGCTCCGCATATTCACTCGATTTGCAATCCACCAATGGTCGCAGTCTGTTGTCGTCACTCTTTCTGTCGCAGCCGCCAGACGTCGACGTCACCATCTGCCAGTAGTGTATCGCCTTCATTGTCGTACTCATGTCCCTTCGCTGAGAGTAGCCGAGCCGTCTGACAGCATTCGTTCAGATCAACGTATAACGCCTCAACGAACCACTCACTGAACGATTACTGTACCGATCCGGACCAGCCGTTGTTACATACAAGCCCTTCATGGAACACACCATTTTTCCACGGTTGATATTCGATCCTCCTTGTCCCCTTCGTTCGTTGACTGTATTTCCTCCAAATATCAACTTTCGCGGTCATTTTACGTGTCTAGCTCACGATTTCCAGATGGAAATTCATTTTTTCAAATCGAAAAACAAATCAACCTTATCATGCATGCCAAAATCCGTCCGTATTCAAAGTTTGATGCAAACGCAATGTTCATCTTCAAATCAAACACTTCACAAAGGTCTTTGTAATTACTGAAATCTGGAAAATGCTTATTTCCTGGCGTTGTGTCTTTAACATACAACGATTAACCTTTGACAAGAACAAGCTCTAAACATCTCTTCCATCTTGTTCTGGCATAAATCAAGAACTTGTTGTCAATCTTGGCTAGCAAAAGAATCAGAAAATCAGAAAAATTCCCCCCCCCCTCCACTCTGCACTGAACGTCATTCTGAGAGGCTGATGACTGTTTTCACGACAATCAGGGTAACAGAGCATTACTCAGGTTCAGGTGCTTTTTCATTATTTGCAAACCTATGTCAATGGATTTTTAAGGTTTTGTATCGAGCGTATCTCGCAGTAATCAACGGAATAATATTGCAAATTTTGTTCAGTTCATCGCGATCCTGATGACGGCAATTCTGATCTCGCTGAGCTATTTAAGTAAGTGAGTCAATCACTTTCGATAGCCGCTTGTCCACTCTGGTTGCCGACGGAGTGTCGACAGAAAGCGTCTCCCACGTTGCCGAACATACGCTAGTGTCTCAGCTTTGGCAGAACATAACCTCAATCTGGAGAAAAGTCTAAGACACGTGCCGCTTTTTTTAGACTTTCTCAGGGTTTTCGACCAGTCGGTCGAACAAGTAGTATTAGTTTAGTATTGCTTTCTGCAGCATTCACGAAATGACTCCGAACCGTCGCTACTGTGGCTCTCAGTCTGAAGAAGCAGCGGCTGTACATCAGGCTTCTTCTGGATATCTGGACTTCAGGAAATGACGAGATGCATCAGTCGAGCAATTTTCCTCAGAAGGTCCGTTTCAGTTGCTAGTGCCCCAGACTTTAGTTTTTCGGTAGTTGACCCAAGGCTCGTGGCCGTAGGAGAGCATGAAAATGAAAATCAACTTAAATACAGATCGCTTCGTCTCCAGGTTCAACTCTGTCTTAGTCGCGACACGATCATTCAAGAAAACGCAGCTGACGGTCCCGAATGGCGAGCCTATCGACTTCTCCCGTTTTCTATCATCCTGAGTTACCACCCTGAGGTACATGAACCTATTCACTTGATCCACTGTTTCTCCTTCTACCTGCAGAACGTAACATCAGGAGAACAAAAATGCACTAGACTTTTGGTTTTAAGCACGTCAACAACCATGCCAGCTACGTCACATTCCAGGTTGTGCTGGAGATCAGTTTCAGACGATACCAATAAAACAAGCGGCTTCTGCAATGTGCAGACTTCTCGTCTTCATATATCCTATAGATACACTGGTCGCTCTGACTGCATCTGACTATCTTCTCTATGCACCGTGCAAGCATGAGAGGGACATTGTCAACGATGAAAATTTAGCTTAGTGCTATTTACTCTTTCTTACGCGGCACCTGCTATCAACAAATGGTGACTCGATGATTTGTAACAACTGGTCATCCATTCCATACATTTGCAGGTATCTCCAAAGTCCGTTGTAGGCTTTTTCTAGTTGCAGAAGTCACTTATAAACCAGATGAACGGACTCTCACGAATTTTCAAACAATTGGCACGAATCGAACATCTGGTCAGAGGTGCTTCGGTCTGACCTGACGCTGCACTGCTCTACTTGTATCTTACATTCAGCTATTCTGCGGCACTTTTTTTTCTAACGCCTTTGAGTAGACTTTTCCCGGGAGACTCAATAAGGTAATGCCTCGATAAATGGAGCGCTCTTATGGTCTCCCTTCTTGAACAGAATGATTAAAACCTTAGTTCTCCAGTCCACTGGTGTCTTTCCCATAGCCATTGCAGCTTTACAGACATGGATTACCGCAACTCGACTTGTTCGCCTATTCCTTTAACCATTTCAAGGCAGATTTTATTAATTCCTCCATCCTTGCCTCAATGAAGCCATTTACCGCTTCTGTGACTTCATCTTACGAAAGATTAATATCGGTTCCCTGATGATCTTCAGACGAGCCTCCATTCAGCTTGCTCAGAGTTAAGTGGTTTGTCAAATTACTCGGTCCATCGTTGACGAACATCCTCT